GAGGGACAAGCATGAGGAGGAGGCCTGGGGTGCAATCATCACAGAGCTCTGGGGAGCTGTGAGAAGTCTGCAGGAATGAAGCCTCAGTTACTGGGGTAGACTCTTTCCACAGGGAGGAGAGAATGTCGGGAGGGAAGATAGGGAACGAGGGGTGGGCAGGAACTCCCATGGAGGCCCTATCTCTCTCCACAGCAAATCAACCAGGAAATTAATTCATCATTTATGCATGCATGTTGTCACACAAACACACACGCATACACAATTGCAAGCAGAGACTCAGACACAGACATGCACATGCACGTGCACACACAGACGTATATAAAAACATGGAATAAACTGCGTGTCATCTCAAGAGTTGTCTTGATGTCCCATTCTACCCACTCACCTGTCATCTCGGGGGCTCTCAGCTCCTGGAGGACTTCTGGAGGACTTCTGAAGGACTTCAAGCAGGATGTCACTCTGTCATCTGAAACACTCAGACCCCTTCTGGTCCCCTGGGTTCTGATATGAAGCAGCATCCTGTTGGTTTCTGCTGCAGCAGAAGAGAAACCTCTCCCCTGGGGCAGAACTGCAGGGCCACCAGAGTGCACCCTTCTGCTCTTTGCCCTCAGGGCATCTTGATCTGCAGGGTGGGAGGAACTGCCCCAACCCCCAGAAATAAACCCTTTAAGGATCCCTCCCTCATCCACCATGATGTCACAAGCTGTGTGCCCAGGAACTCAGGGCACAAAGTCACTGAGCAAACCCTCTGGGCTTATGGAAATATTTAAAAGATAAGCAGTGCCATCTGCTGGACACCACTAGGAAGTGCTAGTCCTAGGTATTTGATAGTTTCAACATATCACTGATTTAGATGACATGGTATTTTTACAATCTGTGATTTTTTACAATCTGTGATTTCAAAAAATCAGCCACCACAGACTCAGGATCTCAGTCATGATGGACGGCAGCACACTCTCATCATAGCCCTTTGATCACAGTTGCTGTGATCCAAAAAACCACAATCCCCTGCAAAAATCGGTATGAAACAGGAAATGAGGGCAGCTGTGTCCAAACTATTTCCAAGGTTTGAGAAGTTGCTCAGTGCCCAACAGGTACCCATGTCCACTAGTACACACTTGTGCTTATTTGAGAATAAAATAGGGGGAGCTGACGTGCAGTTCAGAATAAAAGCAGGTATGAGAGAGTCCAGCAGAAGAAAACATGGTTGCCAAAGTGTTTGAGTCTGTTGGCAAGTTTGGCCTGGCCTTAGCTGTGTTGGGAGGTGTGGTGAGCTCTGCTTTATATAATGTGGATGCTGGGCACAGAGCCGCCATCTTTGATGGATTCCGTGGAATACAGGAGATTGTGGAGGGGAAGGGACTCACTTTCTCATTCCATAGGACAGAAACCAATTATCTTTGACTGCTGTTCCAACCACCTCATGTGCCAGTCATCACTGGCAGCAAAGATTTACAGAATGTCACCATCACGCTGCACGTCCTCTTCCGGCCCGTGGCTAGCCAGCTTTCCTGTCCTCCCCTAGCCAGCTTCCCTGTCCTTCCCTAGCCAGCTTCCCTGCCTTCCCCTAGCCAACTTCCCTGCCCTCCCCTAGCCAGCTTCCCTGCCCTCCCCTGGCCATTTTCTCCACCCTCCCCTAGCCAACTTCTCCACCCTCCCCTAGCCTGCTTCCCCATCCTCCTCTAGCCAACTTCCTGGCATCTCCACCAGCATGGGAGAGGGCTGTGATGAGTGTGTTCTGCCATCCATGATGACTGAGATCCTCACTCAGTGGTGGTTGCCTTTGATGCTGGAGAACTAATCCCCCAGAGAGAGCTGTTCCCCAGGCAGGTGAGGGACGACCTCACAGAGCGAGCAGCCACCTTTGGGCTCATCCTGGCTGATGTGTCCTTGGCAGATCTCAGCTTTGGGAAGGAGTTCACAGAAGCGGTGGAAGCCAGACAGGTGGCTCAGCAGGAAACAGAGAGGGCCAGATTTGTCGTGAAAAAGGCTGAGCAGAAAAAGGCGGCCGTCATTTCTGCTGAGGGTGACTCCAAGGCAGCTGAGCTGATTGTCAACTCACTGGCCACCGCGCGGGACGGCCAGATGGAGCTGCACAAGCTGGAAGCAGCGGAGGACATCACACACCAGCTCTCACGCTCTCTCTCGGAACACCACCTACCTGCCGTCGGGGACATTCGTGCTCCTCCAGCTGCCCCAGTGAGGGCCCACTCTGCCTGCAACTCCGGGGGCCGACTGGGCCACAGACCCGATGATTCTTAACACTGCCTTCCTTCTGCCCCCTCCACAGAACTCACGGTGAGATTTCATCATTGGCTTACAGTGAAGGAGATAAAGGTAAAATCTCTTCATATCTCTAATTGGTCTATCAAATGACTCATTCTTCTCACATCCATGTCCTTTTCTATCCACCTCCCTACCAAAAATTGCTGAGTGCCTGTGCAAACTGGCTTTAGGTCCCAGTTCGGGGCCTGCTGAAGCTCTGGTCTGGCACCAGCAGTTGGCAGCCTGCAGGCAGGGCAGTGTGTGATGGACTGGGGAGCACAGGTGCCCTCCTGGGTCCACGTGTGGCCTCCATCCTGTCGCTGATGGAAGATTTGCAGATGAAGCACATGAGTGTGAACTGAGAAGGCAGGCCTCGATCTTCCCAGCAGTTCCTGCGCAGATGCCGCAGAATACATGTGCCGGGGAGGGGCAGAGAGGACATAGTCTGTCTCTTTCCATAAGGCTGATTCTCTTTAGCTGTGTGACCAGCAGGTGTGTGTGAACTGGGCACAGATTGAAGAATCTGTCCCTGTTGAGGTGGGTGGGCCTGACTGTTTCCCCCCAGAATCCTAAATCTTGGATGGACTTGGATAGTGAGGAGGCCTGGACTGAGATTTGAGCCCCCTTGAAGATTCCCTCTCTACCCCCACCTGGGTCCCTCTCTCATACCCAATGGAATTCCAACTTGAAGGATCGCATCCTGCTGGGGCTGAACCTGCCACCAGAGATGTGTCTGACCTGCGTTCCTGGCTCCCTGGTTCAGAGACTGCCCTTCTCCAGGGCTCTGTGCCTGCGCTGGGAAGGAAACTACCACGGGAAGGAAACAAATGTGTAGAAACTACTGTTGATAAATGACACCCAGCCCTTCCAGCTCAGATACAAACAAACAAAAAGAATGAAGTAAATATACTACATTTTCAATTTATGTGAAATGTTTTCTTAAATGGTCATTAAATTGCCAGGTCATAAATAGTTATTGTTTGGTACTAATTATTTAATAAATACATTCTTGGGTATTTCTTTCTTTTCTTCTTTCTTTCTTTCTTTTTTTGAGATGGAGTCTTGCTCTGTGCCCAGGCTGGAGTGCAGTGGCGCCATCTCGGCTCACTGCAATGCCTGCCTCCCAGGTTCAGGCAATTCTCCTGCTTCAGCCTCCTGAGTAGCTGGGACTACGTACACATGCCACCACGCCTGGCTGATTTTTGTAATTTTAGTAGGGTGGGGTTTCACCATGTTGGTCAGGCTGGTCTCAATCTCCTGACCTCCTAGTCCTTCCACCTCGGCCTCCCAAAGTGCTGGGATTACAGATGTGAGCCCCCGAGCAGCCTTTCTTTTGTTTTAGGGTTGCCTTAAAAATGTTACGGAGACACCTTCTGGATTTTTCTGGACCACTCAAGGCCTCTGCCTCCCGCGGGAATGCTCACCTCCTTGAAGCCAGACTCATGTCACCTTCTCGACAGACCTTCATGTTCGGGCTAATGAGGGCCTGGGGGCTCCCCTCCTGTTCTTCCTCCCCACAACCTTGTTCCCTGTGCCCTGAATCATCTGTCACCATCCTACATCCCATGCAATGCACCTGCTGGTTGTGTTCACCTGCTGTCCACACTGGAGCAGGGATTCTGTCTGTTTTCCTCAGAGGAGCATCCGCAGTAGAGCCCATTGTCGGTGCTGAGGCTGTAGGAACCCTGCGAGTGAAGAAATGAGAGGCAGCGATTGGGGCGGGGCCTCTTTCTTGTCAATTCACTCACTGTGGTTTCGATGGTGACTTAGGACATGGTGAGACCAGTATTTTCTGGGCACAAAAAATCTGAATCTATTGTGAAGACAAGAAGTAGAAAGAAACGTTAGGAGGAATATACATTTTCAAGGAGTTAGTGTGATATTGTGCCAGAATTGCTAGCCTTTGCTTTAGTTATTTAGTAATAACTAAAATAAGCAGCCCAGGATAACTAAGATCTGTGCGTAAACAAATGCTTATCTTGACTTCTGTAAACCACTGAAGTAACAAACAGAATGACAAAAGTCCCCTGGCCCTTGGAATGTCCGGAGACCCCTGCCCTCGTCTCCACCCAGGAGGTGAATTACAGAATCCCCTGGACTTTGGAATGTCCGGAGACCCCCCGCCCTCGTCTCCGCCCAGGAGGTGAATCACAGAATCCCCTAGCCCTTGGAATGTCCAAAACCTTTTCATCCCCATCCCCGCTCCTCACCCCCACTCCCAAGGTGGCTTTTTGGGTATAAAAAGTCTTGGCACCCTCCTTTTGACGCCACAGGTTGGAGGGACGTGAGTCCTCTGTGGTCGCCGGCATAATAAATGACCCTGCAATCTGGCATACTTTTGTCTTGGTGCTAACTTTCTACGCTCGGTCCAATACAACATTAGGAAGAGTGAGAAAAAAGCCAATCAGGAAAGAGGCAAGGTTGGCTTGGTTGTGGCTAAGCTGGTGGAGAAACGCAGCCTTCTGCAATAGAGGGCCTGAGCTGTGAGGTTCCTCTGCAATGCCGAGAACACCCCCACCACGTGCCCCGCCCCTCCTGTCTCCGGAGGCTGAATGCAGCTCTTGTGCCTTCAGTGCCAAGGAAGCCACAGTCCCAGGCCCGAGGAAGCGCTGAGGTGGACAGCGGAAACGGAGGGTGTGGTGCAGAAGGAGAAGGCTGACAGCAAGGATTCCCTGAGGATACAGAAAACATAGCACTTGAAAATGGAAGAAAAAGTAAGGCTATAAAGAACAAGATGGGATTCATGTGTAATTTCATTATGCAATGTTTAATTTTAGGGTTTGGCACTTACATGTATAACTTTTATGCAATTATCATCACACAACTTGAGGTTATTTTAAACTATTGGAGTTTATTTTTTTGAGCTGGGTTAGGGTTCATAGTGCAGAGTTCTCTCAGTCAGTTAACCCCATTTTTTTCTGGCCTTATGTCATTTTTATTTATTCATCTTTAATTTCAGCCTATATTATAGATTAAAGGGTACACATACAGGGCTGTTACACGGGTAGACTTTGGGAGGCTGAGGCTTGGTGTCCCAATGATCCCATCACCCGAACAGTAAGCAGGGTCCCCAACAGGTGGTTTTCAGCCCAGGTACCCGTCCCCTCTCCCCCATCTAGTGATTTCCAGCATCTGGTTCATGTGAATTCAATGTTTAGCTGCCACTTTCAAATGGGAACATGCAGTATGTGGCTTTCTGTCCTTGCATTAGGCTGCTTAGGATAACAGCCTCTTGTTCCATCTGTGTTGCTGAAGAGGACATGATTTTGTTGTTTCATGGCTGGATAGATTTTCATGGTGTCTGTGCACCACATTGTTTTCATTCAGTTCACTGTTGCAGGGCACTGAGATTGACTCTGTGTCCTTGCTAGTGAGAATAGCACTGCATTGAACATATGGGTGCAGGGGTCTTTTTGATAAAATGAATTCTTTTCCTTTGGGTATATCCCCATAAGTGGAATTGCTGGGTGGAATGGTAGTTCTATTTTAAGTTCTTGCAGAGATCTCCACGCTGCTTTCCACCGCGGCTGAACAGGTTCGCTTTCCCACCAGCAGCGTCTGTTTCAACTCTCTGCAGCCTCACCACCATTTCTGACTTTGTGACAGGTAAGAGGTGGTAACTCACTGCGGTTTTGATTGGCACCTATCTGATGATTTGGCCACTTGCATGTCTTCTTTTGAAAAGCGTTCATCTCTTTACCCATTTGTTAGTTGGATTTTTTGTTCTTGCTTGTTGAATTCTGGATACTGAACAAGATTCTGTAGATACTAGATTCTGGATATTAGACCTTTGTCAGGTGAGATTACAGTGAGTGATGATTGTGCCACTTCCCTCCAATACGTTTTACAGAACGAGAAAATGTAAAACACCGTAAAAATAAAAAGGATTAATAGAATTCTTGGTCAGTGCATGGAACGGATCCCTGAAGTCTGAAGCCCAGCATGCGATTTTACTAGCAATACCATTTGGAAGAATGAGGTCCTGCTTCAGAGAAATGTCTGCTTTCCCACAATCAACGAAGTAGAAAGAAAATGTTTTTTTTTGCTGGGATTTCTTGTCCAGTTATAACTTGTGCAGGAATTCCATCCATTAGCACCAAGTGAAAGTGATAGAGGATGTGAAGAAAAATGGCTGCTAGGACCATCACCGAAGGTAATGAGCGGCATGAGAGGTTGGGTCTCCAATGCCCTCATCGTCTGCTGCGGGCTGTGGGCTTGCCAAGGCTTGACCCCCTGGCTGTCCAGAAAGGCACAGCGGTGAGTAGACAGGCGGCCTCCCTGAGGGAGAGCAGGAGGCAGACCAGGCTAACAGGGGCTGCTTGGTGTCATCTTCCACCTTCAGAAAGATGAAGCGTTGGTTTAAGTGGCTGAGAAAAACCTGGGTCTGTTCTCCTGGGTGATCCCTCCCAGGCCCTCCCCATTTTGCAGCCTCTCCTCCAGATAAGGACCATGTTTTCCCTCCAACCCTCCCCCTGGCTCTGTGGTGTGGTGCCGTCGTGCGTCCTGCACCACATCACAGAGCCAGCCCAGGCCCTGCTACAGCCCACGGGGCTCAGAACTGAGGCTGGGAAAGAGGGGTCTGCACCCTCACTCAGGGCCTGCTCCTCTTTCTCACAGAAGGGTCTAGAGGACCTGGGGGAGCCCTGTCCAAAGAGCGGTCTCTGGATCCATGTTCCCTGGCCTTGGGTGGGCTTGCAGGCAAACCTGCTCTTTCCCCTTCACTCTCAGCCTCTCCTCACCCTGGGAGCTGCACCCACAGCTCTGAATGGAGCAGTCCCCACCCCGCCCCATTCATTCCTGGCCAAGCTCAGTGGTGACCATGGAACTCCAGCAGCAGCTCAGCTCTGTCTGCGTCCATCTGCTCCAGGCAGGGCCTTCAGGTGGCTCAGGGTCTGGAGTGTGCAGGAGGCGGGAGGGCAGGGGCACTGCCACAGAGCCCTGCGGGCAATCCCATGGGTTCTAGTGGCTCGGCCTTTTCCTAAACCTCATCCTGGACACACTCTACTCTTCACCTTCCACCTTAACTGCTGGGACCCAAGCTGCTTTCTCTGGGAATGTGGGCTTTGGAATGGGGTGAACCAAGGCCCTCACAGCCCCCTCGTCCTAGGATTCCCCAGATCACTCTCTTCTTAGCCTTCTTCAGGGATGCCCTTTCCCTTGACATCCAAGGTGAAGCGGCCATGCTGCTCCTCTCCTACTGTGCGTACTGCCCATATCTGTGTTTCTGCTGCCTGCGGGTCACACACCACCACCCTTCCCAAATAGGAAGCTGATCTGAAACAGGCCTGAGTTGGCTAAACAGACCCTGAGGCTTGGTATGGGCCCCTTCCTTTCCCTCCAGCCTCTGAAGGTGAGAATCCATCAGAACTCAGGGCTGAACTGCCCAAGTCATTGCCAAGAAGCGACACAAGGTCTCATTCACCTATCTCATGTCAGGATGGAAAGGTCCCGGCCATGGGGAGGCGGGGGACCCTGGAATTCTCCTTTCCCATCCTCTCTCCTCACCCACCTGCTTCTTGCTCCCCTCCCAATTCTGCCCACAGTACCTGTCACTCTAAAGGACTCACCTCAGATGCAGGTAGGAGGAAGCAGGGGAGGATGAGGCAGAGGCAGCAAAGCCCGAGGGTGGTGGCCGTGGCCCTGAGTTGGGCTGTGCCTGAGGACATGGTGGGCGGTGCTGAAATGGAAACACAAGCATCACAATCCTTGCCCAGGCCCCACATGTGAAGACACAACTCCTCTACTCCTGCTACCCCAGGTCATCCTACAAGGCAAAGGTTTTGTCCCCCCTGCTATGGGGCAGCCCCAGAGACAGGTGCTGGGGTAGGAAGGGAGATGGGGTGTCCCCTGTCCTCACGGAGCTCACACAGCTGCCAAGGGAAGCAAGGTGACAGCACAGCCCACTCTCCTGCTGTGGCGGAAGAAGAGGTGATACCCGAGGGTAGGGAGAGGTAGGATCTCAAGGTTGGCATTGAAGGTGATTTTGATGGATTTCCAGAAACAGACCAAGGTGAGAGGAAAGGCAAAGGAATCCTAGGAGGAGGGAAATCCAAGGAAAAAGGTCTAGAAACACAACAATGCCCATAGTTTTGAGGCTGGCGAGAAATCCACAGTGAGGGGAGCAAAAAGGGGCAGTGAGGAAGAGGAGTCAGGAGGGAGAAGGGAGAGGAGGCTGGGAGAGCACAGGGGCCCCCAAAAGAAGTCCCCCATGAGGGGTCATGTTCTTACTCAAACTCACACGCTCACACTCACACACACACTCACACACGCACAAACACTGATACCCACTCACACCCATACACCCGCACCTACCACGGACACCGACAGACAAGGCTGTAACTTGACGGCATCTCCAGGTGCTCCCAGTGCTCCCCTGTAGTTACCTGTGGGCTCCAGCCTCTTCTCCCTGCGCATCAGGAAGTCCCGAAGCCAGCTCCTGCAGTCTCCTGTGGAGACCTTCTGGAAGAACGCGGTCAGTTCCCTGTCCTCCTCCCACTTCTCTTTCATCCGCCTGGCTCCAGCATGAACCACTGTCCACTTTCCGTTGTGTGAGTCAAAGAGGAGGAACCTCTGTCCATCAAATCCGAACTGCCAGGATCCATGGATGTGTCCATCGGCTTCACACTCACAAGACATCCTGGCCTGCAGCCTGATGAGTCCTGTCCCCAATCAGAAAGAGATCAGTGCTGGTCTTTACAAATTCCCTTCCCTGCCCCACATCCTCCTCCTCTGAGCCCCTTCTCATCTGGCCCTGTTGTCTCCTCCAGGTCCTGCCCTTGCTGCTGGGCTTCATGGAGGCCCCATGTCTAATGTCTTCTCCCCGCACACGGTGCAGCCCTTGAGCCCACAGTCTGCTCCCTTCTGTCCTGGGTCTCCTCCACTCACCACTGGGGGTGAAATCCTCCAGCTCAATGCCGGGCAGTTCCAGTCTGAGCCTCTGCCCCACCTCTCTCAGCATTTCCAGTTGTCTTCCCCAGCCATCTGTGGCATTCAGCTGCTCTTCTAGGCGACCCACAGATAAGACCCTGTCAATGCCACAGTCATAGGAGAGGAAATTCTTCTGATCCAGCTGGCCTTGGACCTTGCACCACTGTTGTCCAGGTCTGGGCAGATGGATGATGGTGAAGTTGTAGCAGAGAGAGTCAGCGTCTATGGGAAAAAAGAAAAAACACTGGAGAGTGTTGGGGTGGGGGAAAGACCCCAAACACTGTGACAGCAAGAGGGTTTCCTGCAGGGCGGGGCTGCCAGAGCATGGACTTCTCTTCCTGGGCAGTGGCCTCTGTCTGTGGAGGAAGCATGGGTCACCAATGTGTCCATCTCCGCACTCTGCCCAGGCCTATACATACGTCGGTCAGCACAGGACCTTGCCAGGGAGGTGCCAGGCCTGCTACAGGAGGAAAGGCCTAGATGGCAGCATCTTCGGCAGCAGCCCAGGTGGACTGCGGGAGGTGGAGAGTGTGGGAGGGCGCCCTGAGCATGCTGGAGCATGGCACAGTGGGTACGATGTAGTCAACATTGGAGGAGTGAGTTTATTTATTATGGGTAATGACACAGTAGGTTCCCTGGAACGTGCCTCTCATCTGCTAGTGGGTTGCCCTTGGGACCTTGGAAAAAGGAATGACCCACACCGCATGAAACAAAAACCCAGCTCTTACGTGGCGGGTTGTAGAGGAAGGAACAAAAGGCTGAGAGAAGCGCCCATGCCAGAGTGGCTGCAGCATGAAAATCCAGAACAATGTCCATCCTCTGTGCTCACGGGAAGCCTGGGGGACTCCTGTTTACCCAGCATATAAAGAAGGTCCCGGGAGAAGGCAGCAGACTGTCATGAAGCTCAGGGGTGCCTGTTGCTGAAGGCCGGGGTTGGGGGTAGGAGATGCTGGTCCTGAAATGGGCGCCCTGCAGTAATGGGGATGGAAAATCCTGAAATACCAGATCTCAAGTGGAGGCTGTCAACTGTCAGGAGGAAGGAGGGTGCCATGATGGAAATGATTAGGGAAGTCCCAATGCCAGCTGGGGACCTCAGCCATACAAAGCTATGCCCATGGCTCATAGAACAAAGGGGTCCAAGATCCAAAAGAGATGGAGACTCCACACGGCTACTGCTAGGCTTAAATAATTACAGCAAACAAAGACAAAATGCACGGATGGATGACCTGGAAGCTGAAAGTAGTCACCCCAGGAAATAGCCGAGCTCCTGTGCTCAACTGTGACAACTGAGCCACATCTCAGACCCAGAGTCCATGACTAGGAGAAGAGCCCAGAGCCCCTGGTGGGCCCCTTCAACCCACAGCAACTGCAGGGACTGCTTCAGCCTCCCCACGGAGCCAGACAGGCATTCACTCTGCTAACTGTACAGCAAGAAACAGCAAATACCCAGACACGCCTAGTGGACACATTGTGCGACCCGACCTCCTCTCAGGGATCTGAAGCATTCGCTTGCTCCCCTGTTACTCATGAGGTGCATTTGGGGATAAGTAACGGATGGACACCTGTGTCAGGCCCAGTTAGAGGGATGTGCTGCGCTCATAGACCCATTTGATGGTAATTTCACACTTCCTGGATTTGTACCAGGAATGGATAGAGTTTGTAGTTAATTTAGTACCTATTACAGGTTGTGCTGGTCACATGACCTCCCTGCCACTACTCAACCCTGCTCTTGGAGCTGGGGTGCAGCCATACACAGTCTGTGATTGAGGAGTGTGGCTGGCCCTGTCACTAAGGCTATTTGACCCCGGACTCCCTAAGATCCCAGAGGCATGTGTGGTTGGAAAAGGTGCTATGTGGATTTCATGGCAATTTCCAACTGCAGAATCACAACAGGGTCCCCAGTGCTCAGAATCAAGGCTGTGCCACTCACAGCTGCAAAATCTCCTCATTGAAAAGTGGTTCCAGTGTGTCTCTGGGCCCTGGTGGGGATGGGCCTCCCTATGGGAGGGCAGTGACCGCGCAGCCTCAGAGCTACCATCCCAGGGTGTGCTCCTCACCCTCTAGGTCATTAGGAAGGTAGGCCTGACTGTGAGAAGATGCAGGTGGTTCTCCTGGGATGGGCAGGAGCAGGGCCACAGGGAACCGAGAAGCTGCACAAGCAGTTGGCTCCGATCCGCGGACACCATATGGCTGCATCCCCTCACCCTCAGCTCACACCTGAGACATTAGGGAGAGTTGCTGATGGCCCCGGTGGATCATTGATGCCACTCAGCAGCAAAGGAGGGGAGAATAGGCCCCGAATCATGGGACCCCCACTCACATCCATCACATCCACACCACCCAGAAGCCACAGGCAGGGTAGGACACACTTGTGACTCTTCAATTGACACCAGTTGGAGATGACACCCTAGGGGATGGGGCATCAATTGCCAGGACACAGCAGGTACCCTCATCTGGGGTCAGCAACCTAGGATGGTGTCCACATGTGGTCTCCCTTTTATTTCCAGGTTGCTTTGCCTGCTGTTGTTCTACAAAGGGACAGGTCTTGACAGAGAGACAGAGAATCCACGCAGGCAAGGACCACAGTGCCTTCAGCCCTTCCTTTCTAGAAAGGGTTTGCTGACTCCTGTCTGTACAGTGACTATTCTCTATGACCCTGGCTCCCCAGTAGGAAGAACAGGTGGGTCTGGGCCCTAAGGGCAGAAGTGGTCACCTCCACTCACCAGCGTTCCCAGGGTCATCCTGGGGAAATGGTGCTTCCCATCCCTGCTGCACTAGGTTCTGTGGAAAGCATGGGGTGTGTTTGCTGGGGTGTCCTCAGGCAAGGGGGGAGAAAGTGCCAGTTGGTCGGGAGGTGTAAGGACCCCTTCACGGATGGGGAGGTAAGGGAGGCCTGTGGAATGACAGGACTGGGCTGAGGTGGGGAGTGAGAGGATGTGACCTGGAGGTGGCAGTGGATGGTGAGGGAGGGGTGGGAAGTGTCTGCTGAGCCCCTGGGTGCAGGTGAGTGGCTGCAGGAAAGCGCCAGGGGAAGTTCCAGGGCGGGGAGCCCTGGGGGTGCTGGAGGGTTTGTGCGGTGGAGGGAGGGTTAGCGCAGAGCAGGCCTGTGGCTGGTGGGAGTGTCTGTCATCGTGTCCCTGTGGAACTCCATTTCACCCCTGTCCTGACCCCAGCTCGATTTCCAGGGGCTCTCGTTTCTTCTTCCTGACAGCGAGTGGTGCTGTGGGGCTGCCCCAGGAATCCGTGTCCCACCTCGCCCTCTGCAGCCCTCTGACCCCTCCACCCTCCTGAGGCTCTTCTTCGGACTTCTTTGACAACCCTCCTGGCCTGGGGGGCAAGCGGCAGCGAACCTGGCGGAAAGGACCCGCGGAACGGAGGTGATGGCGGGGCGCAGTTCGGGGAGATGGCGCCGGTCTCCCCTTTCTGAAACCCGCTGCAGTCCACAGCCCCCCAGGACTGGGCTCCACCCGCCAACTCACCGGCGCGCCTCTCCCCGGACCAGCCGGACAGCAGGAGCAGAAGCGGCAGGGACAGAAAAAACGCGGCGCTGGCGGAGGCTGCCATTGAGGTCCTGGAGCGCAGGGCAGAAGAGTTTCCATCAAGGAGACCAGCGAATGAATCGTCTGGGTGCGCCTTTAAGGGGATACGCAGCTCGCCTCTGCTCGCCCCACCCTTCCCCG